TAGAAAATATTTGAATTTTCCTTTGCTGATAGCTTTCTGCCTTACACAGGTTTTGGCTTTTGCAGGTTTTACTGTACTCATAAAATAAACATAGTTGGGAAGAAACATCAATAAAGTGCAGTTGCTAGCAAAGTTTGGAGTTTAGAAGTTTTTATTTTGGCAGTTTCTCACGTCATTTGTCTTTCTTATGCCCTAGCCAAGTCATGCTGGATTTGGTACACACAGTTGCTGTTGGTGGTGCTGATAGGTTTTAATTTGAGTTAGTTGCCAAAATACAAAAGTCAGGAGATTTCGCACAAAAACAGATTTTCAACTTTTTTTTTTTTTTTTGGATAAATCAGAGATGTGTTAATTCAGGACCTGCATTTCTCCATGGCAGCAGTTGGCTGGAACTGAGCACCTGTTCCTCCTTTAGATTATCGGGAGAGCCTTTACCTTTGCCACCATCTCCACTGGGCTGCTTTACTCAAGTGGATACTTGAGCAGGTAAAGATCCTGATGGCATTGTCCAGTGGGGCCTGTGAACTTAGATCCAGACTGGGCCAGAGTCTGCATCCAAAAGTTCAGAATGATAGGAGCCAGCATGGCAGCAACAATTCCTAGTGGTGTCTATCCATAGTCTTTGCAGATTAAAAGCATGACCCCAGCCAGTGATCAGAGAACAGGAATGATAGGTATCAGCTTTCCTGGAACTAGTCAGGTGGTTAGGACCTCAGCCAAGAAAGCTCCTCCAGCCTAAGAACTCTTCTTCTATAAAAATCTGAATATTTTTATCTTCATACTTAAGCTTAATTATTTTATTGGATTAATTTTGCATCTCTTTTTTTCTTAATCTCTGTTGCATTTCCTTTAAATTAAATGTACCCTTTATAGGGGTACCCTTTGATGCCTTTTGTTTTTTGCCTTTTTCCAGAATGTCAGAACAGGGAGAGCAAACAAGATTAAAGCACAAATGAGTGAATAAGAATTATCAATAAAATTAAGTACCTTAATCATAAACTCTGTTTCATGCTCTCCCCACCCTCATATCTTGTCAGGATCACTTGAAAGTGTTGACAGAAGACACATCACACTCTGGTGGTTCTTACAAGCTATAGTCTATTTAGAGAGGGTACATTTGTGCAGGTATGCAACTCTTTCTCAAAAGAGCCTGGATAGTCTTCAGGATTAGTAAAATTTTCTGCATGGCAGATTCAGTATAACCAAGGTGGTCAGTAAAAGACCAGATCTGTTGGCTCTTCATGTGAGTTCCAGATGATGTATCAGCAGTAGGAAGTGACAGCCAGGAGCACCTGGGACACGACTGTTTATGGTCTTTTATAAGCACACAATTCTGAGTCTTCAGGACCAGAATAGCAAGAGAGTTCAAAGATGCTTTTCTCTAGAAATACAGAGTACAGATAACTGTGATCCTATAGTGATGAGAAAGTTCTAGAGATACTCTCCAAAAAAGAATGCTAGAATGTTCAGAACCAGGGCCATATGTTTAGAATAAGTACATATCATCTCAAGATGACTGTTTTGAATAGGACCGTTCACATTTCACTGTATAAGTTTTGATAACCTTTAAAGACTTGCTATTCTAAGTATGGTCCATGTACACAAGCATCTGCATCACCTGGGAGCTTGTTAGAAATGCAGAATCTTGGGCCCTACCCTAGATCTACTAAGTCAGAATCTGCATTTTGAACAAGATCCCTGTTTGATTCATGTACACATTAAAGTTTGAGAAGCACAACTTTAAAAGATTGGCCTATGTATTTAGAGTCTCACACAATTTATTGCATCATCTCTTTTCCCGGTTGATTTGTAATTGATTGCTGTGTAGCAATAATGGCAATAACAGCAGCAATAGTAATAGCAGACATTTAGTGATTAATAGAAGCCTGACTAGGGCAGTGGTGGTTCAGTGGTAGAATTCTTGCCTTCCACACGGGAGAACTGGGTTTGATTCCTGGCCAGTGCACTTCATGCACAGCCACCCCGTCTGACAGTGGAGGCTTGTGTGTTGCTGTGCTGCTGAACAGGTTTCAGCAGAGCTTCCAGACTAAGATGGACTAGGAAGAAAGGCCTGGTGATCTACTTCTTAAAATCAGCCAGTGAAAACCCTGTGGATCACAACAGTCTGATCCCATTGTGCATGGGATCAATATGAGTCAGGGGCTGACTTGATGGCAGCTAACAACAAGTAAAATTAATCCTGACATTTGGCTAAGAGTTTACTTGCATTATTTTTACTTTTTAATTCTTACAACAACCTGAGTTTTTATGACACTACTTTTATAGTTGGTTGCTGTCGACTGGGCCCTTGACTCACGGTGACCCCATGCACAACAGAAAGGAACACTGCCTGGTCCTGCCATCACTATGATCAATTGTGGATCAGACTCTTTGCCAAAATCAGGTATTTTAAAAAATAGTGTTCTTTATTTTGATTTGCATGTCTACCCGGATGCACCTCAGAAGAAAGACCTGGAGATACACTTCCAAAAAATGAGCCATTGAAAACCTTACGGAACACAGGTTTACTCTGACACAACGTGGGGGTCACCGTAAGTCAGAATTAACTTGACAGCAACTGGTCGGTCACTAGATACTAGTATATAAAAAAAATTTTTTAAGTAATTATGTATTGTTGTTAGGTGCTGTCAAGTTGGTTCAGGCTCAGAGTGACCCTATGTACGATAGAACAAAACACTGCCCAGTCCTGTGCCATCCTCACAACTGTTGCTATGTTTGAGCCCATTGTTGCAGCCACTGTATCAGTCCATCTCATTGAGGGCCTTCCTCTTTTTCACTGACCCTCTGCTTTACCAAGCATGATGTCCTTCTCCAGGGACTCGTCCCTTGTGGGAACGTGTCTAAAGTATGTGAGACCAAGTCTCCCAATCCTCGCTTCTAAGAAGCATTCCCGCTGTACTTTTTCCAAGATAGACATGTTTTTTTCTTCTGGCAATCCATGGTATATTCAGTATTCTTCACCAACACCATAGTTTAAAGGCATCAGTTCTTCTTCACACTTCCTTATTCGTTGTCCAGCTTTCTCATGCGCATGAGGCTATAGAAAATAGCATGGCTTGGCTCAAGGACACCTTAGTCCCCAAAGTGACATCTTCTTTTTTTAACACTTTAAAGAGGTAGCAGATTTGCCCAGTGCAATATGTTGTTTGATTTTTCGACTGCTGCTTCCATGGTCATTGATTGTGGATCCAAGTAAAATGAAATCCTTGACAACTTCCATATTTTCTCTGTTTATCTGATGTTGCTTATTGATCCAGTTGTGAGGATTTTCGTTTTCTGTATGTTGAAGTGTAATCCATACTGAAGGCTGTAGTCCTTGATCTTCGTCAGTAAGTGCTTCAAGTCCTCTTTGCTTTCAGCAAGAAAGGTTGTGTTATCTGCATATCACTGTTGTTAATGAGCCTTTCTCCAATCCTGATGCCACTTTCTTCTTCATATAGTCCAGCTTCTCTGATTATTTGCTCAGTATACAGATTGAATAAGTATGGTGAAAGGATACAACCCTGATGTATGCACACCTTTCTTGATTTTAAACCATGAGGTATCCCCTTATTCTGTTTGAACGACAGCTTCTTGATCTATGTACAGGTACCTCATGAGCACTATTAAGCGTTCTGGAATTCCCATTCTTTGCAGTGTTATCCATAATTTGTTATGATTCACACAGTCAAATGCCTTTGCTTAGTCAATAAAACACAGGTAAACATCTTTCTGGTACTCTCTGCTTTCAGCCAAGATCCATCTGATATCAGCAGTGATATCCCACGTTCCATGTCCTCTTCTGAATCCAACTTGAATTTCTGGTAGGTCCCTGTTGATGTACTGCTGCAACCATTTTTAAGTTATCGTCAACAAAATTTTACTTGCGTGTGATTTTAATGATATTGTTCGATAATTTCCACATTCTGTTGGACCACTTTTCTTTGCAGTGGGCACAATTATGGATGTTTTCCAGTCAGTTGGCCAGGTAACTGTCTTCCAAATTTCTTGGCATAGACGAGTGCTTCCAGTGTTGCATCTGTTTGTTGAAACATCTTAGTTGGTGGTCCGTCAGTTCCTAGAGGCTTGTTTTTTGCCAGTGCCTTCAGTGCAGCTTGGACTTCTTCCTTCAGTATCATAGGTTCTTGATCATATGCTACCTCCTGAAATGGTTGAATGTCGACCAATTCTTTTTGGTACAGTGACTGTATTCCTTCAATCTTCTTTTGATGCTTCCTGTATCATTCAACATCATGCCCATAGAATCCTTCAGTATTGCAACTTGAGGCTTGAATTTTTTATTCAGTTCTTTCAGCTTGAAAATGCTGAGCATGTTCTTCCCTTTTAGTTTTCTTACTCCAGGTCTTTGCACATTTCATTATAGTACTTTGTCTTCTTGAGCTGCCCTTTGAAATGTTCTGTTCAGCTTTTCATCATTTCTTCCATTTGCTTTAGCTACTTTCCATTCAAGAGCAAGTTTCAGAGTCTCTTCTGACATCCGTTTTGGTCTTTTATTTCTTTCCTGTCTTTTTAATGACCTTTGCTTTCTTCATGTAGGATGTCCTTGATGTCATTCCACAACTCATCTGGTCTTCAGTCATTAGTGTTCAGTGTATCAAATCTATTAGATGGTCTCTAAATTCAGGTGGGATATATTCAGGGTCATACTTTGGCTCTTGTGGACTTGTTTTAATTTTCTTCAGCTTCAGCTTGAACTTGCCTATTAGTAATTGTGTATTATTCATGTAAAAATTATGAAAAGTAAAAAGGAGGGATGAGGAATTACTTTCTGAAGAATGAAGAAGGCAAAAAATTAGCAGGAAAAATTCATCAAAGCTATTAGAGGAACACTGTTTAGAGGATATTCCAAAACCTTCAGGATCGGTTCGGAGCCATGCTTTGTATTTTGTCCAGGGCTGCCTAGCGCTTGTAGCAATATCTGTGTACTTACTTTTCTCTGTGTGTCTAACTTATGTTTCTTACGTGTCTGTGTTCTACAGGTAACTCGGGACCAGATGAAGGTGTTCATACAGCAGGAATTTAAGAAAGTTCAGAAAGTGATTGCTGATGAGGAACAGAAGGCCCTTCATCTAGTGGACATCCAGGAAGCAATGGCCACGGCTCATGTGACTGAAATATTGGCAGACATCCAATCCCATATGGATAGGTTGATGACTCAGATGGCCCAAGCCAAGGAACAACTTGATACCTCTAATGAATCAGCTGAGCCAAAGGCAGAGGTAAAGGAGAATGCCCACAATTATTAATAGTAGGAGAAGTAGAAGAAACTGACTGCCATATTTGTTAGCTCTGGAAATGCCCCCTGTAGTCCCTGAAAATGAGTTAAAAACTTACATAGGGTATAAGTATTTACACTGGTAAAAGTACAGAAGTATTGGCTACTGTATCCACCATTATCTGCAGAAGTATGGTCAGTGGGACAGATACTAATCATAGTTAAGAAAGGAGGCCAGAAATCAGAGCCAGAGAAAAGGCAACTGACAGGTACAAGGAGTAGATTGAGTCTGTAAAGAAAGTCATTACACAAACCAGAACTGGGCTGAATGAGAACGGATCAGGAAGTAGAGCATAAGGCATGCGAGAATGGAACATTTTGGACTGATTCTGTGAGTCGTGAAAGGGTGCCTTAAGCTGGATTTTATTTGAAGCCAACTGTATTAATTAGGGGCATAACTTACTAAGAGAGGCATGTAAGATAGGGCATTGTGAAGACCATAAAAAGACAGTGTGAACAGAAGATACAAGGTAAATGTTGAATCATTGTACAAATGTTAGATACTGTATTCATTATTTTCTAACAGTAATAACAAGGTCTTAGGTATTTTACCAAGCAACATACTCAAGCATTTAGAACCAGAGCTGCGAACCAGTTCAGTCATGGCCAATGAAATGAAACCTGAACAGACCCAAATTTTTAAAATTTGAGTGATCTGGAACCATAACCAGAACAGGAAAAATTACAGGTTGTAGCCCTGGAATGAGAGACTCAGAAGACGTGTAGTGAGCTCTTTCAGGAACCTGATGCGTGAGATTGGACTATTGGCAGGACTGTGGAGAGTGACACATTCAAAGCGACTCGTTCGGCCTCCAGATTTGAACGGAGCACCTCTGTTTCCGACTCTGCTCAAAATTCGACGGGCAAGAGATTTGGTTGTTATGCAACATGTACGCTGCCCTTGTTTTCTAAGAGGGAGATTAGATTTCTAATAGGGCTTCAACCCGTCATTTTTCCTGTTCTGGTTATTGTTCCAGTTCACCCAAATTTTAAAAATTCAAATCTGTTTTGGTTTTGCTTCCTTGGCCATGACTGGATTGGGAAGAACTGGTTTGAAGCCCTGTTTAGAACCTGTTTCTAAAAAATAAGGCAGTCATTTAAAAAAGATACAAAAACTAATAATGTATTTCACTCACTGAGGAGATGGTTCATCAGCATTATGATGAAAATTTAGGTCAAGCTTATGCCAGCCAGATTTAGGCTAGACTCTTCTATAAGAAAACCTAAAAGAGTCCTATGGACTTTTAGGACTGCTGCTGATTCAGTGAACTTAGCCTTAACTTGCAGTCTTGCTTTGGTCTAGGAGAGCCTGGCCATAGAATAAACCAGCTAATAGAAGAGTCCAGGTATAATCCAGGAGGCAGATATTGTCCAAGCCATCCTGACAGGAAATGCAAGGAACTATTGGACAGTTTTCGGCTGCATCCATCCAGGGTTCTTGATTACTTTTCATCAGTGCGTGAAAAGAATAGCTCTTGTTGTTTTCATTCATCCTCCCCAGAATTAAGAATGTGTGCCTAGGTTAGCGTCTAGTTAGGAAACAGAGGATTTATATTTATCATTTTATTTAATCCCTACGTTAGCACTCTGTCAATATCTCTATTTTACAGATGGGATATTGAGATGCAGAGAGACACTGACAAGTGTCCCAGTTATATCTGTGGGAAGAATTAGGACAGTCAGTGTCCTAGACTGCTTTGTATTCTTAAGACCTTCTACAATGTTGAGGCAGTCACTTTGTGTCTTTTTTTTTTCTTCTTAACTTTGCATATTAATAAACAAAAAGTTCAAAGTCAACTCAAGGGATCAGTGGCATAACTTTGTCCCTAGTCCCCCTTAAATTGGACCCCCATGTTTATTCCCTGTGTTGATTAAGTTGTTCTTTCAAAAATAAAGATTTAATTTGAGCTATATCCCCCTCTCTTTTCTTTTCATTTAAAATAATGTATTTAGTCCCTACCCAACATTAGCCATCCTGTAAGCACCTGAATTGCACTATGCTTGTTAACTCTGATGAATTACTGTTTCGACTATAAGACCTGACGGGCCTAAGGACCAAGCTGTGAACAAAATAAGCTATTAAAAAAAGAAGTAGCATTCAGCAGGCTAGAGCTCTTACAAAGAGCTGTTATCATCTAATGGTCTCTTATTCCAGCTAATCTGGTAACTTATTGGTCAGAGCAAATTTCTAGTACATCTCTTGCACTCAACAGAGGAATTCAGTAAAAATGAGAAATTTTATGGTTCTTAATTCCATTCTTCTACCAGTCTTTATTTTTAGTCTTCTTTTCTTCCCTTTATATACTATGGAACTTTTAAAAAATCATTTGCATTTTGAATTTAGTCAAAAGATCCCCCCCAATATTTATTATAAAAAATTTTAAACATATAGCAAAGTTGAAAGTATTTTACAGATTGTACCTATATATCCATCAGCTAGATTCCACCATTAACATTGTACTGTACTTGCTTTATTACCTATCTAGCAATCTTTCCAACCTTCCATTCATCAATCCATCTTATGTTTCAATGCAGTTAAAAGCAAATTGCATCTTCTGGTTCTGAACAAGATGGCGCAAACACATTCCATTTTATTCCTCTTGCTGATTATAAAAATCCCTGGACAAAATATATTAAGTCACCTACCAGAAGATTCTGAAAGGTGTAAAAAAGATGGCACATTGGCTTGGAACCTTGGGATTTGAGGAACTACACGATAGTGAGTTCACTGGAGTTTTTCCTTACTTCCTATATGTCCTGGTGTAAGTGCTAGAGAAGCCTGCAAACGGGGAACACCAAAGAACCGAGCTACAAAGAAAAAAAGAATCCCAAGTAAAGTCTGCTCTCTCTAGCCAAAGGTCTTGGAAGAGGGCAGCTCAGCATTAGAGAAACCTTTTAACCATACCTGCCTTTTTTAGAAGAAAAGCTGCACCTGCTTATCCTCTCCAATGGGTACTACAGCAGTGGAGCCAGGGGGTTGAAAACCTGTTTTGCACCCTCTCGTGTAGTAATGAGGTGTCATTCTTCCCCTACGGAGCCTGTGTGTGAAACTCTGACTTTTATTCTCCCCTACCCCACTGCAGTCATGAGTGAGCCCCTCTTTCATGGAGCCTGTTGGCAGTACTCTGACTTCCACCCCTGCCCAGTAGCACCCCTCCCCTGTCTTTCAGAGACTAGAGATGAAACTCAGCTCCTGCCTCCTACCCCTGTATTAACTAGGCAGTACCCCTCCCTGACTGAGTCAGTGGGTGGAAGCTTGTCTTCCGCCCCTGCCCTGTAGTAACTAGTCAGTACTCCTCCTCCTCCCCAGCTAGCACTGTGGAGACTGTGGGGCTGAGTTCTATCATTTTAGTAACACAGAGTGGGACAGACCAGAACAGCACTGCAGAGGCTTTATAAACTACATTAACATTTGAACCACAGCCCTCAAAAGTGATCCAGGACATACATTCTGAACCTAAACAGGTTGACTATCTGCTAAAACAGAAGATTTAAGTAGGAACCAGATTTTTATAACATTATACTCAAAACGTCCAGGATATAGTCCAAAATTTATCTTCCATAACTAAGTAAAGTTTATTGCTTTCTTAGTCATTATAGAATGTTTCAAAATTACAGATAACAGAAAGTAAAAAGAATACACACTAAATTGATAGATATTGTGTATGTTTCATTTTTTCACAGTTTAAATTTTCCTCATATTATTAGAAATTCTTCATAGACATAATGTTTGAATCCTGATTCAAATATTAAAATTTAACTTTTACCTCATTGTTGCATTTTAGGTTATTTCCAGCTTCTGTCATTTATAATATTGTAGTGAATGTATTGTTTATAAATCATTTTTGTGAATATTTTTAACCTCATATTCCTGGGAGTAATTACTCAGTTGTGGGTATGAACATCTTTTGGGCTTTTGTACATATTTGCAAACTATCCATAGAATTATTATATCAGCGTACATTCTCATCAGTTTTGAAAATGACTCTCTCACCTATTATTGCCTGAATTGAATTACAGTCATGTGCCGCATAATGTCCATTCAGGCAACGCCCAGCTGCATATACGTCCATGGTCCCATAAGGTTACAATAGAATAGAGTTCAGAAATCTTGATTGGAGAATGGGACCAAACACAATACAAAAGAAAACTTTCCTGGTCCTTTGGTCCTTTTAGAAAGCCAGAGGGTTTGGTTGTGGATAACCTGTACTGATCACACCAGGCTCCCTTGGGCCCTGGGGGTCTCTACGCCCAGATGTTTCATAGGCCCTGCCCTCCACACCACCCCAGGCAGTGAGACAGTGGCCACTAGGGGCCTGATTTGGCACGGTGTTCACACAACGTCCAAGTCACATAACGTCCGATTTTGCAAAACGTATCATGGATGTTAAGTGATGCATGACTGTATATCATTTTTTAAAAACTCTGCCAAAATCAAGTATTAAAAAATGATATGTCTTTATTTTATTTGCGTATCATGAGCATTTCCATCTTTTGTCCATTTTGAGAGAAGAGTATAGAGTTACAGTGAGATAATACTAGAAAAAATCAGTTGAAATGGGGAAATCATTAAAAATGGTATATGCATTCTTTAAACATTTATTTTAACTTGAAACATATCTGTACAGTCTTTTGATCAGAGTCAAGGCCTTTACTTTGAGAATATGGGTTTGCTGTATGGAGTTCCATGTCATGTTTCTCCCATTCTGCCCTGTTCATGATGTCCAGTTTCAGTCTCTTTAAAGGAGGCCGAGGTGACGGTTATTCGAAGGAAACTGAGTGCAGAATCCTAGATTTTTATAATTTATTATTCTAATATTTTGCACATGGCCTACCTACATCAAAATTGACAGCAAATTTTAAGCAACTCATCTTTATTAAATGATTCCAAAGCATTCAACTTAGTTTTCATAGAAGCAACAACTTATAGAAGAAACAATTTTCTCTTACTCTCTTGCTGGCTCACTTGTACTCATTATTTGTTATTTAATTAAAGCATGTCATTATAATTACAAGTTCAACTGGCATGAATAAGCTCGAGAACAAACGTATTAGGTTCTTGGTGAACATACATTTTCACTGGTGGAAGTAGTAATGGGAGATTGTAGTAGAGTATAGCCTGCCAGTTGAGAGCATTCCAGGTGGGGCAAGCATTAGTATGTTTTGCAGAGGGATTTGGGAGCATTACTTAATCTAACAAGTCATTTAAATGAAAGTTGGTGTTTAACAGACTTTCAGTTCTGACATTCTGATTCTGAGACCAAGAGTTCACTCGTAAAGGGGCTAGAAATTCATCTTCTTAAATCCTGCTTATATCTTGCCCTCTCTCCTCCTTAAATAAATTATTTACTATGTCCCTTGTACAATGTTATGTACAGTGAATACAGAGATGAACAAAACAAAAATTCTTTTCTCAAAGAGTTGAAATCCAAAGAGCGAGACATTGTACAGTGCTTTTGTATCAGTTCTCTTCTCGAAGTATTAACCTAGAAACCAAAAAACCAAACCCGTTGCTGTCAAGTCCATTAACCTAGAAGTGTGCATCATACACGCATGGAGGACAGAGAGAGATTATGCCATTCAGGCTGCCAGTGAGGAATAGTTTCTGAGTGACGCTTGATCTAAAAGAATGAATAGGAATTAGCCAGGCTTTCAGAATAGGGGTGTACATTTCGGGTAACCGGAATAGCATGTCCATATTTTTTACTACCAAGATTAGCAGTCTTCTGAATGTTTGTTGCCTATTGAAAATGCCCTTATAATCATATGTGTGTATTTGTTCTTTAATTCATTTATTCTTTCAACAGTGAAACCCCCACATGGCCCTCCCCATGCATTGTGGTAATGATTATTGTCTCTGAAAAGAACCATGTATCTATAAACAGCAGAAATGGATGAACATAAAACAAAACCTTGTGCCCTATCTTTTTTGTCCTCCACTCTCTCATAGAGGTGTTATTAACAATTCAGGGAAAGTACAATGATGGCCATCATTTGTTGAACACCTATAATGTATTAGACACTTGCTTAGTGTTTTACACACATCTTCTCATTTATTTTAATCCACATAGCGACCCTGTGAGGTAAGAATTAGGATTTCCACTTGCAGATGAGGAAGCTGAACCTCAGAAAAGTTCATTGTCAAAAGCCTTGCTGTTGCAATTGATGAACCACAATTTGAAGCCATGTTTCTCTGTCTCAGAAAGTCCATCTCTTAACCATTGCACCAAAATTGGTGATAGTGAGGACGATTTGCTCTAAATCATGGGAGAAAGTTTGGATACATTTTTCCATAAGGTTCTCCTAGACAATTATGTTTAAACGTCCAGAGATAATTGAAACATTGTATTAAGGTTTAATTGTGTCATTGATAGTTACCTAACTCATGTTAAATTTAGATTATGTAACTTTTTTCTTACTAGATTATAGTTCCCATAAGACACACTAGTCTATCAAAATGCAAAGAAGGCTTCCACCATTCCTATAACCTCTCTCCACCACTCGCCCTACTTCTCTCTCATTAGAGTGTGGATGATTAGCTCCCTCTCCACTATTACAAATCCTTAACAGTCTGTTAAAAATGCCCTTATTCAACCTTCAGTGTATAATCTGATTTAAATCACCTTTCTGGTGCCCTGTCCTTTACAGGTTTGTGCCCTGGCAATCTCTTTACCCATTCGTACTCCCACCCCCGATCCTGACTCCAGACTCCCCATACACCCATCCCCTGCCCAAGCCATACACAGCTCCTTTCTCTAGGTTCACAGAACTCAAAGTTTCTTGAACAAACAGTACTTTAAAAAAAAAGAAAAAAAAAACTCTGTGTCTTAACTCTTGCTAGTCTACAGTCCTTCCCACTTTTCTCTGTTGTCAGCCTGGGAAAATCCTGCTTATCCCTCAAGTACCAATATAAATGTCACCCTCCCTGTGAATCCTCTCCCGTCCTTTCCAGGCAGCATTCATCATTCCCTTTGACTCTCAAAACATTCTATTAATGTCTTTGGTGGAACCTTTAACACATTTAGTCATAGTTCATTTTCTATCTTCCTATTTCAACTGCTCCTATTAGGAGATCCTAGAAAGTTATATTGTTATGGGTTATTTATTATTTTATCTTCAGCCCCTACATATAGTAGCTTCTCAGTAAATTGTCCACCTGTCAGTTTGTCGTATTGTGGTGGCTTGCGTATTGCTGTGATACTGGAAGCTGTGCCACTGGTATTTCAAATACCAGCAAGGTCACGTGACCACGATAAACAGGTTGCAGTGGAGCTTCCAGACTAAGACTGGAAAGAAAGTCCTGGTGGTCTACTTTAGAAAAGTAGCCAATGAAAACCTTATGATCACAGCAGAACATTGTCTGGCTTGCTTGCTTTGGACATGTCATCAGGAGGGATCAATCGCTGGAGGAGGACATCATGTTTGGTGAAGTAGAGGGCCAGTGAGGGCGAGGGAGACCCTCAGTGAGATGGATTGGCACAGTAGCTGCAGTGATGGACTTGAGCATGCTGGCAATTGTGATGATAACACTGGGCTAAGCAGTGTTTCATTCTGTTGTACATAGGATCAGAGTCAACTTGACAGCAGCTATCAATAAATCATACTGAATAGCAACTGGATATTGATACATAACCTCTAATAAGTGCATCCTATGTCTCAGTCACTGTGCTTGATATTTATATATGTTATTTCATTTAATCTTCATATTTATTCTATGATGCAGGAACAAGGATCACATTTTACCAATTAGGAAATAGAAGTTAAGAGAGGCAAAGTAACTTGATCAGGGTAACACAGCACACACGTGATGGAGCCAAGATTTGAACCCAGAGTATCTGACTCCAGAACTCATTTTCCTTTATACCAGTAGAAACTAAAAATAAATTGATTAATTTTCTGGGGAGTTATCAATAGCTAGGAGATATATTCTCTATTGAAACTAACCCTAAATGGCTAAAGAGAAAGATGTAAAAGATGCTCTGTCAACAAAAGGATGAATGAGGTCTGCTGGAAAAGGCTTGAGAGCCATTTGAAAAATCTCATTTGGTCACAGAAAGAGGCTCAGAGGAATCTGCTGTGATCACTGACAGAGGTGGAGAGAATGCACTGCCTGCGAAAATAACTCTGACATTGTTTTCACAAAAAGTGAGCGAGGAGAAAAGCTATTGTTTGCCTGAAGAATGATGTGGATCGTCAAATGCCAGAACTACCCTTTTACAGAGAAGAAGACCAAGCAAGGTCCAGATTAATTAATTAGCTTGCCCAAGGGCAGGTAGCTAATAAATAGCAGAATTTGGCCTAGAATCCCAGTTTCCTTTAGTCCCAGTTCAGTGCCCTTTCCACCATAGTGTGCTATGTATTAGCGTTTCTGTGTTCATGTTTGGAGGAAAAATGCTAGACCCAGGCAGAAATGAGTCTTTGAAGGAAACAGCTTGGTGCTTTTGGAGCTGGTCAGCTTTTGCCTAAGACCTGCTGCTATTTTGGGCTCTCAGTTTGCTCAGAACTAAATGTGGCCAGCCATACAAATAAAAACGCAAGGCTGTTATTTAGGCCTCCTAGGCCTGCACCTTTACTTCTCTGCTTGCAAGGGCAAATTATCAGTTCATCTCTGCTGGGCAGTTTGAACATAGGATTATATTAGCCCTCGTCTTAGCCCTTAGACATCTACTGGTTTGTCTCTGTTACAATAAATCCACAAGCCTTGCTTTCAGGTTGGGAAAGGAGAGGGAAAATAAATCTAAATTGGTCTCCACTTCATCCTGATTTTAATGGTGTTTCTTTCTGTTTGTCTTTCAGGGTGATGAGGAAGGACCCAGGTAAGATCACATTATTGCTGCTTGTCTGTTCTCAGAATTGAAGTAGAGTACATTTGTGGCCTTTGAATGCCCCATGAAATATGGACAGCCAAGAAACAGCACAGAAAAGAGATCTCTTTCTTAAGCCAGTGCTTTGAAGATCTTTTTTTGTAAGACTCCTATCTCCCTCCCCATCTAAGTCATTTCCTGCTTATATCCTTCAGATAAAAGTAGACTTTAAAGAATGTGATGACAGTAGCTTTGCTTTATTGTTTGGCACATTCAGACTACCTTGTTAAGAAGAGCAGGCTCTACATTTGAATGGTAATTAGGCCATCAGCTGGACTGACTAGATAAACTTTTGCATTCTTTCTTGATTAGAATTGGATTACTTTTTTTAATGGGCGCTAGATCCAATATTCTTTATTTCTGACCTATAACATCTTTGTGTCTGACCCAAGACACCTATACAATGAATTCTAGGTCATAGGTATACAAAACTTTGTTTAGGGGGAGAAATGCTCCTTTGAGCTTCTCTATCACCACCAAAAAAAAAAAAAATCCATTGCCGCCAAGTCTATTCTGACTCATAGTGACCCTGTAGGACAGAGTAGAACTGTCCCGTAGGGTTTCCAAGGAGCACCTTGTGGATTCAAACTGCCGACCTTTTGGTTAGCAGCCATAGCTTTTAACCACTATGCCACCAGGATTTCACCACAGTTGGATGGAATTTAGAAGTGCATTTCATTATTGACACAACTTTGCAGTCGTCCTGGACTTCGGTTTACTTACTTTTCCTGTCATTCTGCTCAAGCAGTAAGAAGTGGCTTGAGGGGCATTTGCGCAAAGTAAAATGTAATGTCCAGACGGATTCCATCTGTTACATAGGAGAAAGGACTTTTAATGCTGGGAAGTATCAGAGAGGTCATCCAGGCCATTGCTATTCAAACGTATTTTAGCAGAAGCAGTTTTTTAAAAAAATGAATTTTAAGTAGAGGCCCAGTGTGTAAAACTATTTTCCCCTAGTTAAAGTTGGGGGCTACATTTGCTCGTGAACCTTCTCTCTTCCTCATAATAGACCCTGAGGGGCTTCTGTGGAAACCTAGGGTTCCTCAGAACTCATTGTGAAAATCATTAGTTTAAGCCCTTATTGAAAGAAATTAAATGAATTGTCCAAGGTCACCTTACTGAAGCCAAGATGCAACCCTTCTTTGGTTTTATGTGGGGTAGTTCTATTCTGTCCTGTAGGGTCACTATGAGTTGAAATCGACACGACAGCCATGGGTTTTTTTTTTTTTTTTTTTT